CGGCCTTCTGATGCTTCAATATACGAATCCTACACACATGCACACACCTCTAAACTCACAAGCACGCAAACACAAACCCAGGAACAAGTCTGGATGTTGAAATGCCTCATTGCACGTCAGCAGGCAGGCCTCAAATCTTGTTAGTGTCATTTTAATCACTGTGTGTGTGTGTATGTGTGTTTCCACAGTGCACTCCACACTGACTGCTTGACTGGTCAAAATGTTTTTCTTTCTTCCTTCCACATTTTTTTTAGAAGAATTTGTTAGCATAATCACCATGTGGAGCTTTACAACAAAGGAAGAGAAAACATAAAGAACAAAAATCATACACTTTTGCCAAAAGAGAGTGCGAAAACTACATTTAGAAAATCCGTGGGAAATCGGAGAAGGAGATTGGAATTGTTTCCTCTGAGAAAAAAGATTCTTTGTAGCCAGACGGTGCGCTGGGAGTGTGGGAGGTTCAGAAGTGGCTAAGCTGCTACTGTTCTTGCTCGAAGCATAGCATTGAGACTGACTCAAAGTATCACGGAGGGTATACTTTCCCCTACTAGCACACACACACACGCATAATACACATAAAATAAGAGTTAACGCTCTAAAATCCTTTACAGACACAAGTAAAACCTTCACGCTATCCGCACACACTTTAAACTCTTTGAGGACAGGCAAATGTTTCATCTTTCTAAGTAACTGACATCAAGCCCAGACTTTGTGATGGTTAAATGTGTCCTTGGTGTTTCAGGGTTTGCCTGTTTTCGACAGCAGCAAAACAGCTAGATGATATAAAGTAACAAAGCGACTTAATCTCTCCTTTTTGGAATGCTTACTTATAGAATTTGAGTCCAGCTCTCAGAAAAAAGGCTTTTTGTTTGACTGCTTAGTTCTCCTCCCTTTTCTGCAACGTGACTGCTTGTGATGAATTATACAACTGAAGTAAAACTCAACAACGTGTTGATAAAATTTGACAGAGAACAGCCAAAGTGTCCTTAAACACCGTGGAAAATTCCCTTTTTTTGGTAATGCGCATTCCATTGTTTCCACACAGGTCCAACATATCAGCTCAAGAATTTTCAGGCATCAGACATAAATCTTTGAAATGCATTTCATTTCAATGTCGTTCTTTACAACTGCTGGACTATAATCAATAGGAGCTGGCAATGAAAGGAAAAAATGTCCTGCGCTTCTGAGTTAGACCATCTCATCAAAACCCCATAAATGACTTCGGCTGTCCAATCAAGGTTAAAGCACCTAAATTAAGGACTGAATTAGAATTGCAGTCACAGTCACTGATAAACCAAAACTAAAGCCTTAACGTCTGCTGGAGGTTTTCTACCTATCTAGCTTCTACAGTGTGACAGAATGACACAGAGGAAGACCTGTTATCAACAATAACATTTATCTGATAAAGCAAATAAATGATAAAACTGCCACAGCTTATCTGGGGAAGAGTGTTTACTTCTGTTTACTTCTGAAAGCTTTGATTAAATTATGTAAGTGTGTAAGGCATTTAACAAAGGTGAAACTTATTTAATACATTTTATTTACTGAATTAGAAAATGGAGCCAGATCCTCCAGCACCCGGTTGTGAACTGACAGTTTTAAGCCCAGACTTTGAGATGGTTAAATGTGTCCTTGGTGTTTCAGGGTTTGCTTCTTTTCCACAGCAGCAAAACAGCTAGATGATATAAAGTAACAAAGCGACTTAATCTCTCATTTTTGCAACGTTTACTTATACAATTTGAGTCCAGCACTCAGAAAAAACATCTTTTTGTTTGACTGCTTAGTTCTCATCCCTTTTCTGCAACGTGACTGCTTGTGAGGAATTGTACAACTGAAGTAAAACTCAACAACACACCATCAGGCATGAGCATGTTCAGTGATCTTTCTATGCTTATAATACTTTATATAAATATAAAAGTAATTTGTGATTAAATCTTTGCCCCTTCAAGACACTGTGGCATTTATGAATATTGGCATTGTAAATGACATCAAATAAGCTCTTATTTGTGGTGAAAGCAGGTGAATCATGAACTGTAATGAGTCTTCTTCACTCCACCAGGCCTGTCATCAGATCCACGGCCCAGTGAATATTTCAATTTCTGTTCTTTTGCATTGGCCCAATTCGAAAAGAACCCTACCGGGAAAAGTCACAGCACTCCAGATGGCCAGTCTGCCACTGGTAGTGAATTACAACAGGAATGGATCATTTGATTCACCTTTGTAAAAATCATCATCATACATTCGGCTCAATGACCGATTCACCGACATGTGAGTGGCTAATGAAAGCACACACCGAGAGTTGAACCACTGACTCTAGTGAGCTAATTAATCATGCTATGAGCAAAACATGATACTGTCAGTCTGATATGGTTTGAATCAAGCGATTTAACTTCCGGTGCTTTCATTTTTATGTGCAACTCGTGGTTTTCAGTAGGGAAATCATGCAACAGTGTGATAATCACCTTAATTATATGTTGGAGTGGTGTTCCTTTTTATACCGCCGGTATTTACGAAAAACACAAACCTCGGTGTTCCTTTTTGCCTTTCATTTTATACAGCTTCACGGTAAAACTCGTCCAATCATTCAACAATTACACCTTGCGCTGAGACATTTTTGGCATTAAATTGTGATTTCTCTCTAGTGACCTGTATCAACATGCATTTATTGAGCCAATTAGTTCAGCTCAGGCTACAGGTTTAGTCGAGGAAGGAGATCATTACAAGTAACCCTTTCACCAACGAGGCTGGCCGTATCAAAGGTCAGCGCAGTTATCGAATGCTGTGGAGGCTGGAGCCGTAATGAATTAAATTGTGGTTTGGTATGTTGTGATATAGCTAAACTGTGCTATACAGATACTTCACATTGTGACTCCAAGCTATAGCTATATTTAAAGAACTTCTACAGCACTTCTATAGTAGAGGTTTTACTGACTGTTGTTGAATTTATTAGGCATCATGTATTTTAAATTATTAAATCAGAGCGATACTGATTGTTGTTCTGCAGCTTGTGCTCTATTATTACAAATTCACCACTTGCCACTTGTGGCAGAAGCCAGTTCCAGTCTCTCAGCATGAGTTGTAAACCGTTTGGCATGGAAGACCCCAGCTTCCCATAATGTAACAGTTAATATCCCAGGCACTCTGTGTACACGGGCTCATAACGCCCTGCTAATTTCCCCGCTGAGAACTGTTAACATCTTTTCTCTGTTCTGCTAAATGGTAGATGAAAGTATCATGCTGTCTCGCTTTTCTGCTGCCGTCAAGCAGCCGTCACGTGTCGTGATGTCCCACAGCCTCTGTTGCTTGGAGAAGGATGGAGAGGAGCTGTATTGTGGTAGAATTGGCTGTATATAAAAGATCGACTTGATTCTGGGAAAGTGAAGGACATTTTGAAGTGATTTAAACCTGCATTTCTTCTGATTGTGACATCAAACTACCTCTCACTTTAAGAACTCAGCTCTCGATAGTTAGCTTGGTGCCTTACTTATTCCGAAATGATGCTATTTTTTGTAATTTCGTATACTATAGTCCCTTGTGAAATGTGAAAGGGACCTCTCGCTGGTAGGATGCTACTTTATGAGCCTCGATAGGATAGGTTCATGTTTTAAATGCAGTCTGGATGGACTGTATAAGAAAGACCACAGTGATGGGGAAAGGGAAGTGAGGCAAAGGGAAAAGGGGTTGGAGAAAGGAAGGAAGGAAAGAAGGGGGGTCAAGACGAGTTGAAAGAAGAGCTTGAACTACTTGGAGGCATTTTGAGAGCCGTAATAAACACGGACACCCACACACAGCACACACTCTCCTGGCCCATTTCCCTCTCATCCATCTTAAGCTCTCAGGAATAAATGTTACTGTCATACAGCTCGAGATTTTTGTTTTTCGCTGATGAGAGTCAAGTGTGTAGAGCAT